CTTTGCAATGGAAATCCTTGTGATATATGAGCAGAATTAAAAAGGGCGCCAGCGTTGCGATCGTTAGACGCCAGTCAGAGCCCTTTCCCAGGCCTTTTGAGTATTGCATTGTGGGTTTTGATCTGGCCCTGTGGGCTTGGGCGATGGTTTCACTCGGTTCGTATTTGAATCGCTGCAAACTTTCCTGGGATCTATTCGGTAGACGAATAATTTTTTCAAAAAATTAATAAACAGCAGGCACAAACGCAAGGTCATCATGAAGGGCTTTGCATTGGGAGCACGGCTGGTTTGTAAAGACATATTTTTTTAAAATATATGTGTGTGATCCTTTTTAAGATTGCAAAGCGCTTTGGAAAACATTTCCGACATTTGCTCTCGAACTGCCACTCCGGTCACCTGAGATTATGTTGTGAGGTGCCCTGAGATATATAGATGAAGGGTGGCAAACACATTTAACAAATAAAAATAGAATAAAATTTCTGCTTTACATTTGGGAAACCGAGGGGAAGGAAATGGTCCGAGCCATGGTTAGAGGAACTGGATTTGAACCCGGAGCTCCTGTCCCAAATTCAACGCTTATCTACTGGTCCACATAATTGGGTTATATCTAATCTCACCCACTGAATCCTCGCACTTTGATGCCTTCATGTGTTAATAATTGTAGATTTTGTGATGCAATCCCTTCTCCTGCTTAATCTGGGGACTAAAGCAATCTACCTCTCAAATGCTGGAAAGGCAAACTTTTGCTGAAGCATGGGATCGCTTTTGGTTTCAGTCCATTCTTTTGCCAGTTTTGACCATGGCCAATGGCTAACAGGGAGAGAGGGGGGCAGGCAGGGCAAGGAAGCAAAATTTTCTCCCCACTGCTTCAGAGTAGGCGTTCGTGCAACTGCGCATTGAGTGCAAGCGGATCTTCACGCACAAAATGAATTTATGGAATGCATGCGTTACGTTAGGATTAGGGCAGGCATGCCCAAAGTCTGTTTCGGGGGCCTAAGCCAGCCCCCGTGGCAGTATATGTCCTGGGGTAAAATCCTTTTTAAAAAGCCCAGCAACTTTAATCCCCCCAAAAAAGCTCAAAAACTTTGGGGTGAAATCGTAAAAAAAGCTCAACAACTTAAGCTCAACAACGTTGGTCGGCCCTCACGCATGTTCACTCCATCAAATCTGGCCCTCTTTGAAAAAAAGTTTGGGCACCCCTGGATTAGGGGATAAGCCTATCAGTGGCTATTAGCCACAGAGCCTCCATGTTCAAGAGAAGTCTACCTCCGAATATCAATTGCAGGGGGATGAATTGGGGGGGGTGGCTTTTGCCTTCCTTCGCCGCTAGCGGGTGTCCTCAAGGCATCCGACTGTGTACTGCTGCTGTTGTTGTTGTTTTATGACATTTGTATAGTGCCCTTCATCTGTAGAACACAAGGCAGTTCACAGCATAAAAGTACAAGATAAAAACATAAAATACATGCATGATGGGATGCCAAACTTGACTGATGGTCTGAGGCAGCAGTCTTTGCATATAAATACTTGGGCTGCAAACGGGGCATTTGTCAAATTCTGGTTTCTCTCGATTTTTCGGTTTTCCAATACAGTCATAAAAGGTAAAAGGACCCCTGACCATTAGGTCCAGTCATGACCGACTCTGGGGTTGCGGCGCTCATCTCGCTTTATTGGCCGAGGGAGCCGGCATACAGCTTCCGGGTCATGTGGCCAACATGACTAAGCCGCTTCTGGCGAACCACAGCAGCGCACGGAAACGCCGTCATACAGTCATACCTCGGGTTAAATAATACTTCAGGTTGAGCGTTTTCAGGTTACGCTCCGCGGCGACCCAGAAGTAACGGAACGCGTTACTTCCGGGTTTCGCCACTCGCGCATGTGCAGACGCTCAAAATGACATCACGCGCATGCGCGGAAGCAGCGAAACACGACCCGCACATGCACAGACACGTGTTCTACTCAGGATGCAAACGGAGCTCCAGAACGGATCCCGTTCCCATCCAGAGGTACCACTGTATTAAGTTCTGTTCTCCACATTCAGCAGCTTTTTAAGTGTGAATTTCTCCTAATAGGTCCTTTTTTGCCTAGAATATACTTCCTCGCTCTGGTCCATGGGGTCACGAAGAGTCAGACACGACTAAACGACTGAACAACAACAAATACTTCCTCGCAAAGCAGTTCCCTGTAATATTACTTATTTGTTACGTTTATATCCCAGCTTTCTACTTCCTTCCCATTTATCCTCACAAAAACCCTGTGAGGTTGGCTACACTGAGAGGCCGCGACTTGCCCAGGGGGTCACTCCATGAGTTGCATTGGTGAGTGTGGATTTGAGCCCCCAGTCCCTCCCAGGCCTTCTTAGTCAAACCCTCTAACCACTACGCCACACTGCCTCCCGCTGCATTTTGTTTATTTATTATTTTTTCGGCATGTCTTTTTCACTAATGTACGTTTAACCTTTATGCTTTCGTGCACAGTACTGGGGAACCACATTGCAAAAACCCGGACTGGTGAGGATTTCGAAGGAGGGCCGTGTTTCGGTTTGCATAGAGGGCAGATTAGATCGGCTTGCCTTGAAACGCAGACTGAATTGGATTTCAGCAGCGAACTCCACTGGGATGTTTTTGCTCAACCGGCTCAGATTTGCAGCAGCGGAAGTGAGACGGTTCCTTTTTTAATTTAGGCAGGACCGGTAATGAGATGCAAACTGGAGGGGCAGTTTGGAATAGCAGAAGAGAAACTTTCTCAGAGGCGGCAGACAGCGAAATGATCAGAAAAGGTCTAGAGGCCTGAAGGAATGCCTTGTTTGCTGCAATTTAGATAATGGGTAGGCAACCTAAGGCCCGGGGGGTCGGATCCGGCCCAATCGTCTTCTAAATCTGGCCCACAGACAGTCCGGGAATCAGTGTGTTTTTACATGTGTAGAATGTGTGCTTTTATTTAAAATGCATCTCTGGGTTATTTGTGGGGCATAGGAATTTGTTTTTATTTTTATTTTCAAAATATAGTCCGGCCCCCCACAAGGTCTGAGGGACAGTGGACCGGCCCCCTGCTGAAAAAGTTTGCTTTGCCCCAGAAAAATGTTCTTGTTTCAGAGCAGGCAAATTTTGTGCCCTTAGCAGAGTCTCGCTTCCGTTGCATGTTTGCACGAGTCCCTGTTCTGGCCGTGCCTCCTAATTTGGAAGAAGTCCGGCCAGCCCAGAACACCGACTCTAGCAGCTTCCTTTAAGGATGGGGAAGATGGCTGCATCTTTGTCAGGACAGCTCAGTCGGTGCAAGGAGCTTGGTCTCACTGTCCTGGGTTCGAGCCCCACGTTGGGCAAATGATTCCTGCATTTCAGGGGGTTAGACTAGATGATTCTCCAGGTCCCTTCTATTGGGATATTCCGTTCCACCTTAAAGAACAGGAATGATTGTTGTGTGTCACATGCCTGTTTACACTCCAGCACAGCTTGCTGGGAACTTCCGTTTGTGTATAGCTTTTGCTTATGCTGTTTTGCTTTGGACACGAAGGGGAGAAGACATGTTTTCCTTTTGTCCTGATGTATGCTGAATAAGGGACGCAGGTGGCGCTGTGGGTTAAACCACAGAGCCTAGGGCTTACCGATCAGAAGTTGGCGGTTCGAATCCCCGCGACGGGGTGAGCTCCCGTTGCTCAGTCCCTGCTCCTGCCAACCTAGCAGTTCGAAAGCACCACAAAGTGCAAGTAGATAAATAGGTACCGCTCCGGCGGGAAGGTAAACGGCGTTTCCGTGCGCTGCTCTGGTTCGCCAGAAGCGGCTTAGTCCTGCTGGCCACATGACCCAGAAGCTGTACGCCGGCTCCCTTGGCCAATAAAGCGAGATGAGTGCCGCAACCCCAGAGTCGGCCACGACTGGACCTAATGGTCAGGGGTCCCTTTACCTTTTTACCACTTTCGCTAATGGGGCCTCCTGCTGCCACCGCGCCGTCGGAGCACAATTTCTGTTCTCATCCTGAAGCAAAGTTCTTAACCCGAGGTACTATTTCTGGGTTAGCGGAGTCTGTAACCTGAAGCGTCTGTAACCTGAAGCGTCTGTAACCCGAGGTACCACTGTATATGCATAATCTTAACAGGTTGACATATCTTTGACCTTTCCGGCATGTCGTCTTCTCCTTTCCAAAGATCCCAAACTATCTGACACTGCCGCAGGATTTGGGATTAAGAGGAGATCACCCCAACCGACACACTTTTTAGTTTGGAAAAGCTCAGTGAACAGGCTGCATGGCTAGGCCATCTATTGTAATCCGGGATGATTTAATTTAAACTAGGATCAGTCCTAGAATTAATTAACCAGGCCCCAGAACACAAAGAGCAGGTTCGGAGCTCACCTTCCTTTCCATGAACTCACTACAGGTTTCCTCCCTCACACATTTGAGAGTCTGACCTCTTTAAGCAAAATAAAATAAAATGATTCTAGCAGGCACACGCATCTCAATTCTCTCTTCCTTTACCTAGACATGCACTATTTTTTGGTTCCTCGTTTCCCCCCCTCTCCCGTCTTTGGGGGTGCATTATTAGAACTGGGTGTGATTTGAAAGTTTTGTCAATATTCAGGGTTTATTATCATTATTATTAAATTGACTCCTATCTGTAGATCTCAGGACGGTTCGCAGCATAAAAATACAAGATAGAAACCACAAAAGGCATAATAAAAACTCATAACGAAAGCAAAGCAAGGCAATAGCCCCTCTCCCCTGTCTAGAAGAACCTGCAGGATCAGGGCGGGAGCTTAACTAGTCCAGCATCCTGTTCCCACAACCAGATGCCCTCATGATAAACCCACGAGCAGGATTCGAACACAAGCCCCTCTTTCCTCTTGGGGTTTCCAGGAGCATTCGGGAGTATTGCTGCCTCTGACAGTGGAGGCAGAGCATAACCGTCATGGCTGGCAGCCATCAATAGCCTTTTCCTCCCTGAATGTGTTGCAGAATCCTAGAATTGTCAGTTGGGACCCCAAGGGTCATCTATCCCAACCCCCTTTTGCCTAACACAGGGCTCGAACCCACTGCCCTTCGATTGAGAGTCTCACGCTCTGCCAACTGAGCTCTCAATATCCTAATCCCCTTTTAAGGCTATCAGAGTTGATGGCCCTCACTGTGGGAGGGAGTTCCGCAGGTTAACTAAGCAAAATCTCCACTGGAGGGGAGAATGCATCTCAGCTGCGATGCAGATGCGTACACCCCGTAAGGAAAACCACGTGCTGCGGATCGGGGACGGCAGAGGGCCAGATGAACGAGTCCTGAGGGTCGCGTCTGGGCCTCGCCCAGGCCAGAGACCCCCAACCCCCTGCCCTAGAACAAAGCCCTAAAGACTCCTGGCGCTGCCACCCCCTGGCAAAGGACCCCTGACACAGCTGGAAGGCAGCGCTGCTGCTTGAGTCACTGCCAGCGGGGCGAGGCCTGCAGCCGGTTTGGCCGCTTTGCCATGGAACCGGCACCAGGCACTTGGGGGGCTGGAAGGTGACTCAAAGAAGGTCACCTTTCCGTGCAGTCTCCTGTCCCCAGGCAGTAGAGATTACGGGCAGAGGATTTCTAAACCATCCCTGAGATGCTTATCTCCCTAACCCTCTTCTTTCTCTCTCTCCTTTTTATGATGCTTAGGATGAAACTGAAGGTGGGAAGGGGCGGGAGGCATGCTGAGTTTAGAGGGAAGAGAATTGCACTGATTCCAGGGCTGTTTGATCAAGACGGAATTGAGGAATGATGCCCATGGGCTTTGCGTGTTTTGTTTGGGATTCTTTAGAGGAGCTCTAAATAAGGTGGGGGGACGTGGGTGGCACTATGGGTTAAACCACAGAGCCTAGGACTTGCCAATCAGAAGGTCGGCGGTTCGACTCCCCGCGACGGGGTGAGCTCCCGTTGCTCGGTCCCTGCTCCTGCCAACCTAGCAGTTCGAAAGCACGTCAAAAAGTGCAAGGAGATAAATAGGTACCGCTCAGGCGGGAAGGTAAACGGCATTTCCGTGCGCTGCTCTGGTTCGCCCGAAGCGGCTTAGTCATGCTGGCCACATGACCCGTAAGCTGTACGCCGGCTGCCTCAGCCAGTAAAGCGAGATGAGCGCCGCAACCCCAGAGTCAGCCACGACTGGACCTAATGGTCAGGGGTCCCTTTACCTTTACATACATACATACATACATACAGTGAATCATAGAATCATAGAATCATCGAGTTGGAAGAGACCACAAGGGCCATCGAGTCCAACCCCCTGCCAAGCAGGAAACACCATCAGAGCACTCCTGACATATGGTTGTCAAGCCTCTGCTTAAAGACCTCCAAAGAAGGAGACTCCACCACACTCCTTGGCAGCAAATTCCACTGTCGAACAGCTCTTACTGTCAGGAAGTTCTTCCTAATGTTTAGGTGGAATCTTCTTTCTTGTAGTTTGGATCCATTGCTCCGTGTCCGCTTCTCTGGAGCAGCAGAAAACAACCTTTCTCCCTCCTCTATGTGACATCCTTTTATATATTTGAACATGGCTATCATATCACCCCTTAACCTCCTCTTCTCCAGGCTAAACATGCCCAGCTCTCTTAGCCATTCCTCATAAGGCATCGTTTCCAGGCCTTTGACCATTTTGGTTGCCCTCCTCTGGACACGTTCCAGTTTGTCAGTGTCCTTCTTGAACTGTGGTGCCCAGAACTGGACAGAGTACTCCAGGTGAGGTCTGACCAGAGCAGAATACAGTGGCACTATTACTTCCCTTGATCTATATGCTATACTCCTATTGATGCAGCCCAGAATTGCATTGGCTTTTTTAGCTGCATCTTCACACTGTTGGCTCTTGTCAAGTTTGTGGTCAACCAAGACTCCTAGATCCTTTTCACATGTACTGCTCTCAAGCCAGGTGTCCCCCATCTTGTATTTGTGCCTCTCATTTTTTTTGCCCAAGTGCATTACTTTACATTTCTCCCAGTGGTACCCCTGGATGCAAACGGGATCCGTTCCAAAGCCCCGTTTGCAACCTAAAGCGAACACAACTCGCGTCTGCGCGGGTCGCGATTCACCGCTTCTGTACATGTTCGTGACGTCATTTTGAGTGTCTGCGCATGCGTGAGCACCGAAACCCAGAAGTAACGTGTTCCATTACTTCCGGGTCGCCGCTGAGTGCAACCCAAAAATGCTCAATCTGAAGAAACGTTAACCCAAGGTATGATGTACATACATACCCAGCCACTCTGGGCGGCTCCCCAAAGAATATTAATACAGTGGTACCTCGGGTTACAGACGCTTCAGGTTACGGACTCCGCTAACCTAGTAATAGTACCTCAGGTTAAGAATTTTGCTTCAGGATGAGAACAGAAATTGCATGGCAGCGGCGGGAGGCCCCATTAGCTAAAGTGGTGCTTCAGGTTAAGAACAGTTTCAGGTTAAGAACGGACCTCTGGAACAAATTAAGTACGTAACCAGAGGTGCCACTGTATAATAGGATTATTCATTTCATTTCTGCTTTATATTTTAAACCAAAAAAAACCTCAGTTTACAACACATTAAGGCATCAAACAAAACAATCCAAAATAAAGCAATTTGAAGCTTCAGGGAGAATATTTCAGATCCTCCCCTAAGGGACATTTTTGCTTTCCCCATATTTATTTATCTACTTGATTTATGAGCTGCCCCATAACAGAAGAAGTCTAGGAAGCCAGGGTGGTGGTGTGGTTAGAATGTCGGACTAGAACCTAGGAGATCTGGGTTCAAATCCCCGTTTGGTCATAATAATAATAAAAAATTTTATTTATACCCCGACCTCTCCGGCCAGAGCCGGGCTTAGGGCGGCTAGCACCAGTAAAATTACAGTAAAAACATAATAAGAAAAAAACCCAATTTAAAATACAGGTTAAAATGCAATTTAAAATGCAGCCTCATTTTAAAGTGGATGATAAATCAAGACCGTAAGGGGAGGGAAGCATAAGGGTCAGACCGAGTCCAAACCAAAGGCCAGGCGGAACGGCTCTGTCTTGCAGGCCCTGCGGAAAGATGTCAGGTCCCACAGAGCCCTGGTCTCTTGGGACAGAGCGTCCCACCAGATCGGGGCCAGTGCTGAAAAGGCCCTGACCCTAGTAGCTCACTGGCTGATCGTGGAGTCAATCTTAATCTCCCTCGCTGGGTCATTGTAGGGGTTAAATGAGGAGGGGGTGAGGAGGTGGGATATAATTGCAATGAATAAGCTCTTCTGCTCACCTGCTTAAGAGAAATGGAGGGGTCAGTCGGATGGAAATGGCATCCACAGATCTCCACATGGACACAATTAGACCCGTGACAGTTGCAAAACGTGCCTGGTGCCTGGCTAATTTCTAACACTGGGTTTAACTCTGCAAAATGGCTCCAGGAATTGGGGTGGGAAGTTTTCTATTGGAAGCAAAGCATCCCACCCTCCAGAAGAAAAACTCTTAATTATGGGTAGGCAAACTAAGGCCCAGGGGCCGGATCCGGCCCAAACGCCTTCTCAGTCTAGCCTGCAGACGGTCTGGGAATCAGCATGTTTTTACAGGAGTAGAATGTGTCCTTTTATTTAAAATGCATCTCTGGGTTATTTGTGGGGCATAGGAATTCGTTCATTTTTTTCCAGATATGGTCTGGCCCCCCACAAGGCCCGAGGGACAGTGGACCGGCCCCCTGCTGGAAAAGTTTGCTGACCCCTGCTCTTAATCTCAGGGAGAAATGGGTGTATTTGGACAGAAGCAAATGGATTTCATTTCACCAGTTCTCTGAAACGTTTGTCTTAACTCAGTATACATCTCTTTTCCCTTGGAGTTTTCTCAGCGTTCCTTGAAAATTTCCCTTGGAGTTTTCTCAGCATTCCTTGAAAATTTAGCTTGCCCTGATCTCTCCATAAGGAGTGAGCAGAAAAAATAGAAAATGAAAGCAGCGGCTTGAATATAAGAACTGGACTGGGGTCTGGGTTCAAGTCTCACCTCTGCACTGGATTCACAGTGTGGCCTTGGGCAGTGTCCCAGCCTCAGTTCCCCATCTGTAAAATGGAACTATATTGACCTACCTGGTAAAATGGTAAATATTGTGAAGCCCTTTGTGGGTTAAAAGTGATCGCAAAAATGAAGTATAGTGACACCAGTTATTTGAAATATGGTTTTTATTGAAATCAGACAGACACCTGCAATTCAAGTATTTTGCACCCCGCTGAAAATATATCTTTTATATTTCCAGGTGCATTTAGAGAATTAATCGGATTCAGTCTTGTGTCATTTGCACAGTATTTTATTATTTCTAGATGTTGTAATGCCTTTGATGTACACCACCATGATATCTTTTTGTGAGCTGGTAGTTTATGAATGTTCTAAATTGCTTTATTTAGAAGAAGCAGCAGCGGACAGGGCTGCGCTCAGTTCAGAAATCCCATTGTGCAACAGACTTCTGCTTGCACAATTAAACTTCCCTTCCCCTGCAGTGAAAAACTGATCCTGTGGCTGCCGATAATTCTGCCAATGACATTCCCGTATCTACGTACGTTGCAAAAATTTATTCAGCTTCAGCTAATCCTGGGGAAGGGGCGATGAAGTCAATTCAACATTCCCTTTTCCCAGCCCTCTCTGACTTCCAACATTTTGCCCAGGCATTGCCAGTTTTCGCAACCACAAAGACTTAGAAGTTTGCTTTCCGGCCAAAGCTGAAATGCTGAAATAGCTGATTTCTGTCCCTGTTACCAGTTTCTGTACTTAAAAGGCACTTTCTCAGACCCATGGAATAATGCACAAATCTGATACGAAGTTTTTGGCTTGGCGGTAATGTCCTCCAGTAATGTTGCTAGGGCTGTGTGATCAATTTGGGAGCGGTCCTTCAGCATAAAAAAATCAGGACACATGGGCAGTCTCAAAGTAGGGTTGCCAAACGTCCAAAATTTACCGGACATAGCCGGGATTTGGCCGTCTGTAACAGTGCCCAGGCGGAAATCGCTTGAATATCCTGGGTTATCTCCTTTGCTGAAGGTTTTCAAGAGGAAACAGGGCAAATAGGAGCTGTAATTAATATTGGCGCTGGGAAACTCAACTCTCCATTCTCTCCATCCCTCCCCCCTTCTAAAAACCAAGGTCAG